AAAGCAATGTAAGCGATATCAGCGAGATTATTCCTGCAACCGACTCATCACTTGTAAGTTTTGTATAATCAACTATAGATGACAGTTAAACTCAGTAAAGAAATAATTCATCAATTCGACTCTGAAAATGTTTGCACGCGTATCCATAGAAGAATAATATTTTATTTTAAGGCTATCACTGATCAAAGCGGAACGTCTGGTGTGAAGCGAAGTAGAGATGTTGCTCGAACGGAAACGGATGAACATGCTCTAGATATTGATATCGCATTTAGTAAGTGATGATATGCAATAGAAATTTACCGAAAATTGTATGGAATATTTGTATCCCCCACTTTCTTATTTGGAATGTTTTATAAGAACAAGAAAATGGGAGAACATTACTTTGTTTTCAAATTTACACTGTACTGGACGAATATATTCTACTGGTGAATACCCTTTTTAGGTTGTAATAAGCATGGCTGTTGAATACGTCTTTTATTTTTGTAACTGTAGTGCATAGACCAATGAGAGAGCGGGGAATATGGAAAATTCTGTTAATTCCATGTAGCGTTTTACCCCAATAGTGTCATTTAGGTATTTCATTCATACATGTAGCTTTGACTAAAAATTGCAACTTGGGTCTCATTTTTAGTGAAATGTATCTTTAGGCCTATTCTACATTTCTATACTGACAAATGTAATACAATTATAGTAATTGTACGATTTTTGCCTTGTGCAATTTTTCAATTGGAACTTGATGGCATTTTGCTTACGTATTGCAGAGTCAAAAAGACGACGGGAAGCTAAGTACGGCCAACAGATTGATCCGCAGGCAACAACTCAAGGTGAGTTAACATCTTAATTCGATAGACATAGAAATGCTAAGGATGAGGTGCGATAAATGGCAAATACCCCAATGGTCAAAATGAATCATTCTTAGGTGTAACATGATGAATATGATGTCACATAATTATTGGGAATATGTTTAAATCTTTGGGTATATATTTGGCTGAGATAGGGGTCAACTAGTAGTTCAGCAAGGTTGTATTGAATTGCATTGGGCTGTGCACCATCGACTTAACATGGCCATCAGATCTCAATAGAGGCAATTTGTTTCCATTGATTATCACAAAAACACCAAAATACACTATGGCCTGAAAACTTAATAATTTCACAATAAGACACAAATGGTTTATCTCATCAAATGTGCAAAAATGATGTTTGCAATCGATTCAGGTCATACTTAAATTAAACGATTGTACATCCCTACAAAATGGCTATAAAAATGCTCCAAAAACAACATTTACAGTTATCAGATATCATACTTTGTAAAACCAAAGATTATACTATTATTTAGTAACATATTTGGGTAAGAAGTAGGGATGTAGGGTGCAAATCGATTTTGATAGACAAAAAATACTTCCTGTTTTGAAATGTACAATCATGGGCTTTCAATTATAAGGGTATGCAACTCTGTGTTATAACATGAGACCTTCAAAATGAGCAAGAAAGTACAAAATAAGATTTTCTCGGAATGTGTATCTTCTCCAATTTTGAAAATCAAGGCAATGCTTATGTATGAAATATAGGAAGTTGCCTACCGTTCTCGTCGAAAGTCCATGGTACAATACATTTAATTGCAAGCCGCTCCTCTTTTTAATCTATATGTCATGTCAGTAACGTGATAAAGCAAGCCAATCATGATAGTGACTAATAACAAAGATTATGTTTCCATTGTTCAATCATGACAATATTTGGCCTATATGTTAAGAATTAAATAAGATTTAATATGCTGTATAGAATGCTGTATGGGTGCTTTCGGAAAGACTATGGTTGGGGGACGGATATAATGAGACACACTGTACACTAGAACTTCATAATTTGAATTTTTAAATGCGATTATAATTCCTATAAACTCAAATTTAATGTTCTAAAACATTTTAGCCAAGACGTCTTGGAATTATATACGTAGTGTGAGTTGGGCTACTGTCTATATTTTCAGATTGCAGAACAGGGGATACAGATAATTTGATAGACAATGTGAATACAAATGAGCTCTGTGATGCAATAAGTGCACAGGTAAATATTATGCTAAATTTGAAACTGTCGAATCTCATTTAAGAATAATTTTTGAAAACATTAATACTTGTTTATGAGTTGACACAGCTGTTTCCAACTGAACTTTTAAACAAATCTCCAGCTTTACTCCATGCAGCAGTAAACAAAGTCTCAGATTTATTCTGCCATTCAGTAACATGGGGCTTTTTTACAATTATGTCAAGTTTAGAGTCTAAATGCTCAGAATGTAGTGATTTTAATTTATTCACTTTTTGATGATTAAAACAATAAAGGTATCCTTTATATTTTCCATCAAGAATTACATGACAGTACCATATAAACAAAAAGTTATGAATGACTTTAGAACATGCGTATTTGGAAAAATATGCGGTGATATACCAAGATATCAAATATCTGCCTATTAGGCTATAACTGCTGCAGACATTTCTGTAGGGCTATTTACATGATGTTCAGTAGATTGCCCTTGCATATTATTTAAGACTGAAATACAGTTTTGTGGCTTTAAAATAACTTATGATAGGGTCAATTTAAAACTTTTGGTAACAGTATTCTTATAAGGTTTATCTTTATAAGGTGTATGTGTTTATAAAAGCATAACTGTTGATAAAATGCGTCAAGAATTGAGAGTGAAATTGACTTACCAAATTGCAGCAAGGGACTATAATTAAATACCCATAAATGAGCTAATGCTAATTTCTAATCCAAATGTTAATCTAAGATAGATACTATGTAATGTTAAAGTCAATCAATGAGTCACTTTAATATCACTTTACTTTCTTCAACTTTCTCCTCTTTATTTGTGGGGTAATATCCTGAATTTCTGGTTGCTGTTCAGTTCTAGTGGTCATTGATACTCTTGATTTTCTCAGCAAAGGATGTTGTTAATGATGATCATTGTCTTATTAATGTCATGTAACATTTAGTGCCTATATATGTAGGGTGATAATGTGCCTCATCTAATGTTATATGAATTCCTTCTTACGTTTTGATACTTTCAGTTACCTATCTTGCATTAATTGGATTTACATATCTTACTTTTGAATGTAAAAAGCTTTTTTGAACAAAACCGGCAAAGCGATTCTATGGATTTTGAAAGAATTTCCACATGCATAGTTGTTTTTTAATGAAGGCCATACTAAAATCCATGTTCTGTTACAATTTGCAAAGTAAGAATCTTTAAAGGAGAATGGTAACTTCAGGGAAACTAGACTTTAAGACAAAGGGGTGCTGTCTTGACTTCTAAATATAGTTGTGCATATCTTGAATAGTTCTTCCATGTGGTGTGTCATACTTTACAAACATACACAACTTTTTTAGATAGAGGGGTGAGAAAGTATAGACTTTACAAAGATTTATGTTCATTAAATGATACCAGATTTGATCAGTTATGTCTCAATTCCTTGAACCCCTTCTAGATGTTCACATGTTAATGTTTCTACCAGGAGCAATTAGACTGTCAACAAGTTAAACAAAGTGAATCTAGCTTGATTTATTGAATGGAAGGAATACATTGAGGGGGGAAATGATAATGTGCAGAAGTCAAGTATTTAATTTTTATTTAAATAAAACTGTTTGCTTTCAGCACACTACCCTGAGTCAGCAGAAAAAGTCTGGGAAGACATCATCTCGAGAGGTAAAATATTTTTCAATTTGAAATATGAAGCTATATTTTATGCGCTTACTTAGCTTTTCTTCAAATACTTTGATTGTAAAACAACTGGTGAAAGAAGTACCTTTGGATGGAAAACTTTAACGCATTTTTAGCATTGATTGCTTGACATTTTAATTTTACTTGTGTATAAATGTTTACAAATGGCCTAGGTCATGTCACAGTTGTCAATTGTCGAACTCAAAGAACTAAAATTAGAAAAATATTTGCATTTTAAATATCGTTTGGTATGTTCTGTCCTTAATTAATATATATATTTATACTAAACATTTTAAAAAGAGTATCTTAATATATTAATTAATGTATTTGAAATGTTGGTTGAGAGATTTTGTTTTAATTTGTGGGTTTTGGTTTTGCAGATCGTTTGTGCTAGGTGGGAAGACTACGTGTTTTTAGGGGTGAAGGAGGACGACTTAATATATTACTGTCAACGGCAGCTATCAAAGATAGACGAGTTTAATAAATTACTCCGAATTAGCAAAAATATGTGTCTTATTAATAAGAAGGACCAGGCAAAAGTGGGAGTCAACATTGCCATTGAAAATTTCTTTGTAGTCCAGAGTGGGTTTCTTAATATATCAAAAAATAGCCTTATAATTACTTTGATGCAAGACCAAGCAAAGGTTATATCATGCCTGTCATCAATTGTATCCAAATTGTAAGTTAAAGAGCATTTTGAATGTTCAGACATTGTTTTGTATGTTCAGACATTGTTTTGTATGTCCAGACATATAAATAAACAAATAGTTTACATGTATACATGCAGACAACTCATATTCAGACCATACCATCTTGATTAATTTGGTATTTGTTTTATGTATCATATACGTGTTCATACACCTCCAGCTCACTCATTTGTCTTAACATTGCCATTGCACATGTACGAGTACAATGAGAAGTCTAAAACTTAACCACAGAATACCTTATTAAAATACTGATTTTTTGTCATATTAGCTTGTTTAAATATAATAATCACTTCCTGTATTTTTGCCGCACGATCATAGACATTTAAAGTAATTTATTTCATTACATGTAATATGTAATTATTTGACTTACTGGTTCCATATAGATAAATGTTCATATATGTAATCTGTCTATTTTAAGAAAGAAAATTGTATACATTTATATTATTTTGTCCCATAATGTATATTGTAAATAGTTAAACCTAAGATAGCAATTCAACTTAAGTGAATGTTTGCTAGCTTGTTTGATTATGTTGAAGTTTGAAGTCTAGTAAGATCTGTAGCAAGCGTATATGGACTAGACGTCTAAACTGTTTTACCTTTTCAAACGTTTGTGTTACACCTGTTTACCAGAATCAAGAATGTTCTTCGTTAGTTATGGTCACACTGTGATTGATCATCAATATGTCAATATGTCTGTATTGTCTACAAATGATGAAACAGATCAATTTTTATCTGAAGAGACGAAACGCTTTGTATATAAATGACTAATATGGTAATAAATACGCATCAGTATAAATGGTAAGATCTGATGTTTGATTCTGTAAGTGTCCATAGACACCTCTCATCTGCATACAGACCTTATTGTTTCATGTGTTCGTTATCGCAGTGTCTATAGACGCCGTCCTGTATTATATGCTGTGTTCGAGGGTGTCTATAGACACTCTTTATTTAATTGTTTGGGAATTATGTAGGTATACGTTGGAGGTTCTATCATATGAGTGTCCATAGACTCCTCACTATCACAATACTGGAGACGTTATGTTTTCCTAATGAATTTGTGGCTTTCAAATACTGATTGCTTTTCTTGGTGTCCATAGACACCTTTGCCAAAAGAATTATATTATGTTGGTGTCCATGGACACTATTTTATTTTCAATGATTCCAGTCACTGAGTGTTTATATCTCAGTATCGGAAGAGTGTCCATAGACACCATATGCCTCATCAACATATGATAAGGTTTGCCAATGATTACAAAATATATTAATATCTAGTGAATCATACACGGATGGTGTCCATAGACACCCAAATTTAATTTCAAAACATACCCATGTAGTCGCATAACAGTAAAACATAGAAAACATGTAGAGACCTGAGTCATATTTCCAAATTTCAAACCATCACATTTCTGCAATTCCTTCTACCACAACTTGCTTTTTAGAAAATAAGTACACAGATATTTGGAAATAAATATATGGTTTTAAAAGAGAAACCTGCATTTTCTCTTTTAGTTTTGCACCCTGTTATATGTTAAATAGGTTAAAACTCAATTTTACATATGAATGTCAATATTACAGGGCAACCATTATTTTGGCAACAGTGTATCTTTGCTTTTGCTATATTTATTATTTAGCTACTTTTTGATTATACCAGTTTTCATAAGATGCATTTCACCATGGGGCGGAGCAGGATATAGGAATAATGTAAAACCACTTTTAAAACCTGAAATAAATTGCTAGAATATCTCTGTCATGTAATTAAAGTAGTAGAAGAAATACTTCGGGTTTCTTTCAACAATTAAACGTTTTGCAGATTGTAGATGTCTACCGTCTTGGTGTATTTGTTTTGACGCTAAAATGCTATAAAGTAGCTGATGATACATCATGAGATATCAATAATTTATTAAACATACATTCACAGGTTACGTTTGCAAACTTTACTTGGAGGAGTTGTTCCCTAGTCTAATGTAAAATATATTAAGATGTTCTAAATTCTCTATTTTGTAATCAGATTTTTTTTAGATTTTCCCACTTCACAAAATTCAACCATCTTATCAGGTCACTTGAATAATAAGTGGCAAAAATGCAGGAAACGGAACTATATGTAAACACAAAACGAGTGATTTCGATACTTCTGCAGAGAATGTTTTTATTTCACACCTGAACAGTTAAGTCCTTTTGCGAAATCGATTTCACGAAATGAAGTATAATCTCATTTGGATTATATTTAATATGTGTTATCTAATATTTAATTCATATTCGCCAATCATTCGTGTTAGAGAAGAAATGTTAACGTGTATATATTACATTTTATACTATGAGATCAGATATGGATCTGACTTCTTTCGAATTCAAAAGTGAATATATGAAAAAGGAATAATAACCGATGCAAGTTCATTCTCAATTTTACTGTTACTGTTTAGGTCAAGGAGGATTGGCTCCCAGGATCGAAACTCGATATTTTCCAACAATGAAAACGTCGAAATGTCGTTATTTTCTGAAATTAAAACCGACTATAAATTCAAAATAAACAGTTCAAAAGATTCGAACCAATATCTCGATCATTTCTTGTGAGTTTTGGAATTTTTCGTTTGGAAATAAGACCAAAATTCACGATTTAAATGTTGAAGTGAACAAAATGGCGGCTGTTTGAATTCGAATTTTGTATTACGTCATACCCATATATCGGACAGAATATCGGTGGTGCACTCTGGGAGCCAATCCTCCTTGTGTTTAGGTATTAAACAGATATTGTGGGTGTAGCGATGATCGGAAATTTGGCGAGGCAACTTTTATCTGGCGACGCAAATTTGAGTTGAATTGAAAAAAACACTTTTCTTAGACTGTATTTTCAGTTTTCGTTCAATAAACGGCATAATTAATATTTTCTGTAAAACGTTGACGAGGCAGTTACGCCCATGAATATAGTAGCCGGAACAGATCAAGTCAAACACCTCTTTTTTCCTCATAACCTTTTTAATTCTCAATAATTTTTCATTATATTTTCACTGGATAAACTTTACAACATTATTAACATGCACAATCTTTGTTTAAGTCATCATCAATTTTCATGAGAAATACAGCTTATTAAAAATGAAAAAGAGGTGTATGAGTTGTTCTGTCCCGGCTACTTATTCTATATTATTCGGTTATTTTCTTCTTTTAAGGAAATGCCATGTAATAACCCAGATGCGAGTAGAAATAATCTTGATTTACGTCATTAAAAATTCAAAATTCAGTCAAAGTAATATCATATTTGAAATCTACATGTCAAATTACATCTAGAAATGTGGTTTTAAAAAGTGTTTATCAACTTTGAAAAATTAATTTTCTTTGAAAATGTGACTTCTAGCTCGGGGAGATTCCCCATAGACCCCATGCTATAAAATCACAAAAAATGAAATATCTTTTCTTTTAGTGGACAGATAATATTTTGCTTTACTGGACATATTTTCATTAGTATAAGTATTAGACACATAAGGGTTATAGGAAAATTGAGCCACTTAAATTGATAATATTCAAGTTTAAGGGAACTTTCTTATATACCTGCCATGTTAATTGACCCGAATCAGCCACCTGGTGGTGAAAATGGTAACTACCTACTCGCATTTGGGTAATTGGGAGTTGTAGAATGACTCATCAGGTTTGAATGATGTAATCTCACGAGTTGCTAATTGAGCCTTAATGGTACTATTTATATACAGTAACACCTTTAGTATATCTACCCAACAGCTAAACACGTATATCATGCAATGTGTGTCGTAGTCCCCTTTAGTTTAAACAGGTATTTTGGTTGTTTTATACACAAATCACAATAAGAAATACTCTAAATATAGTAGTGGACTAATGCTTGTGATTTTGAGTACAGTTCATGGCTTTACATTAATTGACATTAATTAACATGTAGAAGTTTTAAAATAAATGACTGAATACATATGATTATATTTACGATATTCTGATAGTGAAATTTTCGAACATTTAGATATTAATTAAGGAAGAAAAATTGATGGCATTTATTCATTAGCCGAATTTTTTTGATAGTGTATTTGTTGTTATGGTGAAGCAACATATATACCAAGCAATAGCACCCGTATGAAAAATTACCAAATTCTGATACTCAGTGAACTGCCATCTATATGAGTGAATATTCCCATTTTTTCGAGTAATTAGTAAAAAGGCCAAGGTTAGCTGATTATAGGCATCACTGTCCCTCTCTTCATTTTTCCATGGTCATACTTGCAACTTTTTCCCTTATACAGTAGAAATTGCAGTGGAACATCTCTGCATTCAGTTGAACACCTCTGTAAGTGGAACACCTCACAAGTGGAGGGGATTTTGAAAGTCCTGTGGTTCAATGACTCCATGTTAATGAACCTTTGCAAGTGGAACACCTCGCAAGTGAAATACCTTTTGTGGTCTCAAGGGCGTTCCACTCTCGCAGGTTCTACTGTACCTTATACTAAATCGGGCGAGAAAAATATTGCAAAGCGGAGATCTCATCCCAACAGGACCGACATTTTAAACATTCATGCAAACAGTTGACAATGTAACTGCAGTCTGAGATTGTTTTTCCCAGCACCTTATTACAATTAGTTTCCTAATATCTTTATATTCAATTGGGCGAGTACGTACAGGAAAGTGGGAAAAATAAATAATCCCGGATGACCATCATTTTATACGCATGCGTACAAGTTCTCTCAAAAATTTAGTTTATAATCCTAAATGTGAAGGGACAAAATCGTGTCGACTATTTTCTCTCATGATCTCATTTTTAAACAGAATAAGACCTTTGGAATATTGCATGTGATGGCGCAAGAATAGCGTGAGATGGTACTTGTCCATTGGTAGACTAGACTAGACTTGAACGTAAACAACTATTCATTGAACAAAACAACTATGACCATGTAGTACCCAGGGCATCCACTTGAGAAAAATGTTATATCTCTGGCTATCTTTTCTCAAATATAACTTGTTTTGAGGTTTAGTGAATTTCTAACAACAAAGAACCTTCATCTGTCACAATATTATTTCAAATGTATTTCGAAATGAACACATTTGTGCATGAGATAATAATAATGGATACCAAAAAGTAATAAATACACAAAAAGGCTAACATTTGATGAAATGTATTTTTCAATTTTTCTAAAATATTGAAATAATACCGGATGTTTCAAAATGCAACCGAACCAACCTATAACAATGCATAATCTTTAACAAATAGAGTATGACAAATTATCATTAAAGCTGGTTCAATGTTCTCGAAGATAAAAAAAGTCATCACTTTAGCATGTACATGGCCCATTTGCTGGCCATTTAAAGAACCTGCCATTTCCTTTAAACATTTCTGCAGAGAGACTTGCACACTTCGTGCGATCGATGTTGTTGACGACACGCGTGCTTTCATTGGTGGATATGACTCTTATGCTCAAAGATTGTGTATGTCACCACTCCTAGAACCTTTGCAGATCTCAAACTAGGGATAACATGGAAGGTAGTGACTTTTGCAAGTCTGTCAGCAGAGGGGTAGCCATTTGGAGCACGTTCTTTAGAAAACAAATGGGTCATACACATGCTACATATCCGTTGATGAAACTTGCTCAATTCAAACATTGAACCAACTTTACTTGTGCCAAAACAGATTTTTCAAGCTCCATTAGTTAGTACGCTGGTCAGGTTGTATGATGCAGTCGTGTTTTTACTCTTTATTTATAGTGGGACAACCATTGTTATTGATATTTTCATGATTTTGACAGGCTTTTTTCAAAATCACTTCACTGTCAATAAAATACGTGTTTTTTCCTGGACAATTGAACTTTTAACGTCATTTCAAATATTGTCCGGCTATTGAATTTTCGGCCGCCCAAAGTCTTTCCAAATATATTTGATGCAATATTAACAATTATGACTGATTATTGTTATTCACTTTAGTCATGTTCAATATTATTTCAGTGCATTAGGCAAATAAAAAACGTGTTGCTCTGGGTCTCGTTTTGTGAAGCGTTCCCTAGATTAAGCCAAGATAGAGGAGGTCAACCTTCTTGTCAACAGACATGAGTTCAACCCGATCGAACTGTTCAATACTGTCCAAAAAGCTGTGTCAAATTCTATCATAAAATTGTCAGGTTTCAAGTTGTCAGGGAAACCTGACATATTCAAAGCAGGTTACAATTTACGTGCCACAGGGTTGCATGCTGAGTGACAGTGGCGGAAAAGCCCAGTGGCAAAAAGGTGCGTCAGAGGAAACGTGACCCACAGTGACAAGTTTTCCATTGGCTAGATGCACTGTAATAATATTACTAAAATATGACAAAAATGAACAACAATAATCAGCCATAATTAATACGGCATCAAATAAATCTGGAAAGACTTTAAGCGGCAAAAAATTCAAAAGCTACACAATCTTTGAAATGACGTTAAAAGTTCAATTGTTCAAGTAAAAACCTTTATTTTATTGACAATGGAGTGTTTTTGAAAAAAGCCTATCAAAATCCTAAAATTAAGAATTTCGTTGAAATATTTTTTCCATGTTAAAAATTGTCTCCAGAATATAACATGAAAATTTCAATAAGAATGGTTGTTCTATTGCAAATATAGGGTAAAACATGATTGCATCATTCAACCTGTCCGGGGTACTAAAAAGATATGCAGCGTTTGGTATACGAGTTGCAATTTTCTGAAACACTTTGTATTATACAAAATGATAAAATCCCTTCTTTAGAAATTCTCAGAGCTTCCAAATGAGCCATTGGTTGGGAAATTTTAGAGAAGACATAACTTGATGTATCTTGAATCTCAAGTACCTGTATGGGCCGGGGTACTAACATTTCAACAGCCTTTGATAAAATATACATCACATGATTTATATGAATTGCCTTTGGAGACAAGACGTTTGCACCAAATAGTCACAAAAACATGTTTCGTGAATTATATATGCATTATATATTACATGTGTATGATGTGTACTTCAAGGTTATATTTCAAGGTTGTAAAGTAATACTAGGTATAGTATCATACTAATGTCCGATCATAAGTTCGAATAATAGTTGCGTTTCAAATATTAATTGTGTGACATATACGAGACCAATATTAAAGCTACCAGGGGGAATCGGACCTGCATGCCTGACAAATTATACATGTTTTTTTGTGTTTCGGAAAATTTGACATGTGATGTATTTTTTAGTTCTTCAAATAAAACTACAAATATTTCGTTGCGGTTTTATCTTTACTTCGTTGTTTCAATCACCGCCATCACTTTTCAAACGACGTTACCTTGAAATATCAAGACATCATGCTATTTTATATTAAGCAGTAAAAATTAATTTGCTCCATGGGCAAATTATTTCAAGTTTCCTGGTGAATGTCGAGTCTCACGAATGTAATTTTAGTCGATCTGTCTGCATGGGGTGAATCTTGGGGTTGTGACTAAACCTGTCTGCAATAAATACCATCCAATAACGAATCTACGTTGACATATACCACCTACGCGTGTCTTAAATGTTTTTTATCAATGGTTTATCAATTTGAAGTACGTTCTCACTGTCAAAGATTTATTATGTACATATTCACTTGTGCTTGAAAATGCCTGACAACGTTCGAAATACGAAATGTTTTGAATGCGTGATTGATTGATATTAACTTAAATTATTTGTGAATATTTACAAATACTTCTACGTGTTATTACGAGAAAATGTTGAATACTACTTCGGTTTCAAAGCCTAGTAATACCTGTACATAATATATTTACAAAAACAATAAACTACAAGGGCTGATCAATAAGTTGTGACTCTCTGACTCAAAAAAATATCTCAAGATTATTGAAGCAACGAGAACTTACAGCTTTTACCTCATGGCCGGCTTTAAAAACCTTAGGACCAATTCCCACGAATTGAGACGCTTTGATCAAAGATTGACACGCTTTGTTAGGCTTTGTTACGCTTGGCAAGCTTCCTCAGGCTCTCTCGCGCTCTTTTAGGCTCTCCTACGATACCCACGCTCTGCCTCCATCCCTATAACTAGCGCTGAGACTTGAGTACCTCTCAAAACACAAAAATAAGACCAAAGAGAGGTAGAAACGTGTTCTGCCATCGTATTCTAGAGTCAAAGTTGCAATGATTTATGGATCTGCTGCAAGCTACAGCGGCATGAAGTCGGCGATCTCGACATTTTCCAATGCGTAACAGAGCTTAACAGAACGTAAAATTGCACAACAGAGCTTGATAATCTGAGCCTGATTTAAAGCATCATAATCCCATCAAAGCGTAATGAAGCCTATCAAAACGTGATTTCAAGCGTAACAAAGCCTGATCAAAGCGGGATCAAAGCGTGAGGAACCGTAACAAGTCGGGAAATAATCCGTCCCCTGAAGAGGCAACCAATTCGTATCAGAACGTATCAAAGCTTATTAGAGCGTAACATTACTTAGGAGATCGTGGTATCGATATTTTTGGAAAAGTAAACAAAAATGACGGCGCTTTACTCGCCTATTTAAAGCGTGGGATTCGCCGTTGGTGTGAACTAGGTTGTAGTCAGGCCATTGTCACTTATGACAAACAAAAACAAAAACTATCATTATCCTAATATATTAAAATTGTGGTTTTATAATTCAACTTACCATAACAAGCAAAAGGCGCCGCAAAAAGTACTTTGAAAATGTCTTCCATTTCTTCTGGCATTTTTCAAAATTAGAGTTTACCATTTCGACTTGCTTTTGTATAGATAAATCATAATCGATTCACGATCGATAAATTATTTTTTTGAATTGATAAAAGAGTCTAAAGTGTAAGTGCATATGAGAGGGTCACTTGCAAAATTTATTGATCACGCCCCGTACAATTGTATAGAGCTTTGGACATGTTTAATTTCATGACTTTATAATGTATGCATATTTGCATTGTATGTTTGCGTTCCAAGAAGGTTTTGTTTGAGAAATAAAAATACAACTGGTATAAATAAAAGTAAAACAACAAGTATCTTGTTTGAATTAAAGATGCAATAGAAATATATTAATGTCTAGCTGACGCTGCCTGTTTGGCAAGGCCATTGTCAACCATAATAAATAAAACAGAAACAATCATCATAAGCAGCGATAACTACTGTTATATGTTAATATATTAAAATTGTGGATATATTATATATAATTCTACTTACCATAACAAGCAAAAGGCGCCGCAAATAGTACTCTGAAAATTCTCTCCATGTCTTCAGGTATTTTTCAAAATTAGAGTTAACCATTTTGTCTCACTTAGATATAGATGAATCATAATCGGCTCAAGATCAATAAATTATTTTCTGAATTGATACAAAGTGTGAAAGTGAGTTGGGGCGTGGGTCCGGATATCGACTTAGAAAATATTCAAAATTGTAATATCTGAAAAACCAACTCAATCATACATATTATTAAACCTTGATATCCCATCCTTCTTCTGAGTGTCAAAGAATGAAGCATATTGCTCTCAAAAACATTGCATATCAATATGCCAGAATTGAAAAAAATTCAAGTGAATTGGTGTTTTTCTGGGTAATCAAGGGATTACGGTTACTCAAAGTTACTGAGCAACCAATCTTGACACTTCAATTGTGTCGGTGGAGTTGTTTATATTTCTTCGAAATTTATGCTGAGCACAGCTTTATGGTTTCAATTTTCCAATCTCTATACATGATCCCTGCTGTTGACGAGTCAGATTCAGTGAAAAAATCCCAACCATAATGCTGTGCTCAATGTGGAAATTAAAAGTGAAGCAATTTTTCCTGATATTTCCTTCATCAAAGGGCAGCCATCTTGGTTTTCCCCATTCAAATTAAACTGGCGGGAAATTGAAAAGTTTGGAAAAATTTAAAAACCTGAACGATATCTCAAAAAAATAATTGTCTTTTAAATTATTCAGTCATGTATCTTTAAAGTCCCCATATAAATTTAAACCACTTTGGCTTATATTGCAGTTTTACCCAATGTTATCAAAGTGTGATATGTGAAACTTTTTTTTAATTTCAAAAAGTGTTTTTTAAGGACTTTTTGTTCAAAAAATCGTGAATTTATTTAAAACTAACTTTTAGAGATCACTCATATATTTTAGTAAGCCACAATTCATACCAATGCATAGCATTCATCCACGCATGTTTTTTGCCGAAAACATTAAGAAAATCGGTTCATAAATAAGCGAGAAATGAACTAATCAGTGCATGAAAATGATTTAGAGAAAAATGCATTTCAAAATTTAAGTTCCCATAGAAACCAATGGTACAATGATATCAAAAACATAATTTATTCTTCCCTTTAACCTGGTTAGACAATCAACATGAATTTATTATTGAAATTTAGCATACTTAGAAAAGATTGACTTAGAAAGAAAAAAATTTCAATTTTTTCAAGAGGTTTTTGCCACCTGAGTGAGTCATAATGACATCTCTAATGTTGCAAAATATTTTTGATATGCCAAAACATCGAAACGGCACATTAAATATGGCATTTTATTATTGAATTAGCGTGTCCTTTGTTAAATCTTTGCATTGGTGTTAAAAAGACAACCTTTTTTTAAATGTATGAAGAAATATTTGATGAATAAAAATTTTCAACTTTTTTGAAAATGGCGGGAAATTTGAATGCCACTTGAATGCAACTAACGCCTGTCGGCTAGCGGATTACCGACAGACGTTAGTTGCATTCGCTAATACAAGCTCAGAGACTTTACAAAAAAGCATTTTATATTTGTCGGTTAAATTAAAGGCAGAATCAGATCTTATGGGGTGAGAAATTGCAAGCAATATGTACAATTGACCTACCAATGCATTCATTACAAGCTCAAATAGGATATCTCACAAAAGATCCGTGACATATCATTAATTTGAGAAGTTATTCAAGATTCAAAGTACCAAAATGGGTGGAACATTTTTTAATTCTCCCAAATGCTAAAAAATGGTAACCATACATAGAGAGAATTGATTGCAGTATTGTAAAAGTCTTTAGCTTTCTCAAATAAGACAGTGTACATTTCTGAATTTTTTAGAAAGCAATCATGACAAAGAATGATATGAGCCCTAGAATTGAAACAATTTTTCGTCAAGATCATAATAAAGATAATGATGGATAAACCTAATTGTGCCTTTAAAAGGGCAACAAGGACTGTAGAGAGAAAATTCGAATTTTTATTCTTTCTGAGCTATCAGATCAAATTATGGCTTAACACCTTCTTTGACATACCTATTTTCTTAAAATGTATGGATAAACTACCAATTTCAGCATTAAGAAGTGTAAATTCAGTTCAAAGCTTCTATAAAGGGGACCCACTTATTGATTTTTAAGATCCACTATGTTTCAAGAGGTATATCAGCTGAAATAATGTTCATCCAGGGAGTTACTTTGTAGATAATGAAAATATACGTTAGTCTTGATGAAATATCAAAACTTAAATATATTTTGACACTGGTCGATGATCGTTGCACTAATTGCCCTGCACTAATTGTTGCACCTTTAATCATTCCTATGACACTATTTTAACATTGTGAATATTAATATTATTATTTTATATTTTACATTTTTGTCCAAATTGTGGCTTATATTTTTCTTTTATCCTTTTAGAATGAATATACAATTAGGATTGGTTTGACAGAAAGATGGCACTAATGTATAGTTAGGTCAAGGCAATCTGCTCTATTTATATATCAATTTATTATTTATTATAGAGGGAGTTGGTAATAAATGAACACGTACATGCAAAATCCATAGGAGGACCTGTTGAACATTCACTGAGTTGAGGTAGACTATTTACACATACCCATGAATGAATTTGCAATGGAGGAAAATCGCAACATTGAGGTAGAAGTTAAAGCGGCAACAAGGCCTGTAGAGAGAAAATAGGAAAATTTAAACTTTTTCTGAGCTATCAAGGCAATACTTGGCTTAACATCTTCTTTGACATACCGTACCTATTTTTTTAATGCATGGATACACTATCAATTTCAGCATTAAGAAGTGTAAATTCAGTTCAAAGCTTCAAAGAGGGGAAACCCGCTTTTATATTTTTCAGATCCACCATGTTTCAAGAGGAATATTAGCTGATATAATGTTTATCTAGGGGTTTCTTTGTAGATAATAATATTAGATGTGCGTTTTGATGAAATATCCAAACTTAAAGGTGCAATAATTAGTGCAGAGGGGTCATTCAAAGATCATGGACCAGTGTCAAAATATTATCTACAAAGAAACACCCTAGATAAACATTATTTTAGCTGATATTCCTCTTGAAACATGGTGGATCTTAAAAATATAAAAGTGGAAGTCCCCTTTTTGAAGCTTTGAACTGAATTTACACTTCTTAATGCTGAAATTGATAATTTATCCATACATTTTAAGAAAATAGGTATGTCAAAGAAGATGTTAAACCAAATGTTGCCTTGATAGCTCAGAAAAAATGAAAAAACTTTCCTATTTTCTCTACAGTCCTTATTGCCCCTTTAAATGTATTTTCACACTGCTCAATGATCGATCTTCACTAATCGTTACACCTTTAAGGTAGAAGTGGATGATTTTGTGCGTGCATAATATACAATTCATCATTAAGGATTGGACTCGGTGTATTGTTTGCTGAATCATACCATGAAGGTGTTGTTTCTAAACCTTTCATGACCGCACAGCGGTGTTTTCATGCGCTGCTGTCACTCAGAAATACTCTGTTCGGATTGGCTGGAATAGGACACACCTTGCCTAATAGCCATGTGTGAAACATATATTAAATGGCTTACAGTTCATTTATAAATGAATATAATATATACGTATTACGTACGTTATTTTAAAATCTTTAATACTACAAAAATATATGATATGATACACAGCCAATCTGCAACAGCACCGTATGGTACCGTTTTGGCAATGGTACTGTACGGTACCGTGAAATATGGTACCGTAAGGTACCGTAGACTAAAATGGTACCGTACGGTACCGTGAACACTGTATGGCACTGTACTCCAACAGTACCGTATGGTAACACACTCTTAATGTACCGTGCGGTACCGTGATTTTACATTGTGGATGTATATGAAAAATATGATCACGATACGTGTTACACATAATGCAAATGTCCTGTATGGTGCTCTTTCAGGACTCTTAGGACCTATAGCCTGAATTGTCAACACCCTTTTCGTATGGTTTTGAACCATTTAAACTAGTTAATTTTCCCTCGTAATACACACTGCTATCGGTAGGGTTTATTTGATGTTTGTGCTCTTGGATAAACTTTTCATGTCTGCTCCTTTTTACCACACAACACAACGCTATGACCAGAAGAACGATGACAGCGATCATAGGTCCAACCACAGCCCAAAACACAGTAGAGTTGTATTGACCTAAAACCCAGAATAAGTAACCAATTTAAAGGACCCGTTGTGGTATTTAATTAAGAAGTATTTCTAAGGAATACTAGTATAGTACTACATCTATTGACGAAAAGTATCGACAATATGTTTACGAGAGAGAAAGTCTTACAGCACGTGTATAAACGCTTCTTACTTTAGATAAGATACGGATTACGGAGATGATATCTTCTCTACAATGTTTACCTTGTTGATCTAAAGGTTTCACGGTCACATCTAGTCTATCAGTTGTCGTCGCTATCGTTGTGGTTGTCTCAGCTTCACCACGTATAGTTCGGTTGTATTCCTCCGCAGTCCATGTGAAAGGTGCGCATGTAGGGAAACCCTTTGGCGGTGGAAGGTGTAATTCCTCCGCCTCGTTAAAAGCAAGTTCCATCCCCTCCATGACGTGAAGAATAGCGTGACAATGCATAAACCAGAAACCGGGGTTATCAGCCCTAAATTGAACTACAACGTAGCCAGCAGAGGGAACAACAACAGTGTCTTTCAAAGGAGGGTGGTCAAAATTCAAATCTTTTGGATGGCCTTCCGCCCAGTGATGCAAACTACAATGTTGATTCTCACAGACAATATCCGTGTTGTTTTCAGTTTTACGACCCGTCGTAATGTTGTACTCAGGATACCCCATTTTTAAAATTTCAAAGCTGTGCCCATGGAGGTGAATGAAGTGATGCGCGAGTCTGGCTGTGGGATACGATCCATAGTTTGTGAAGGTTAATCGGATGAGTTGATTGTGTTTTAAGGCGATCGTATTTGTACATAAGCAACCCTTTCCACTGGTGGCGCACTCGTTATTTGCAGGGCAGGGCACAGCACCATTGTTCGGTTCGTGTAATGGCGCATTTGGGTTCTTGAATTTATGAGCGTTGATCGAAGAGCCGATAGGAAATCCAAAGTTCAGGATATGTTCAACGTACGAGTCATTAGCTCTACCCGCAATTACATCATGGTCGTGATCATCACCTAATCGTCTCGTCTCAGCGATGCTATGACAACGTATGTTTTCACTCTCCGGATATCCGGCAAATGGGCAATTGAGAACTACACAATTCGCATCAACCAAACACGTGATTGGAGACGACTCGGGATCTATTTTTCCAGTTGCTCCTTCGTATGATAATATAGCTAGGGCGTCCCATGTGATATTATCAGGAATCGGATCCCATCCTGTCCCGGCCCGGAGGGTGACCGCCCTGACCCAATACTTATCAATAGTCTGATTAGCAGTAATCTCTAAATCGTAACTCTCTCCTGGATAAACGATCAATGATTGGCAGACAAATGGAACGATATCATGTCCATCAGACTGCGTCACAGTTAACATATGTTGATCAATTGAGACCTTGAAGGCATACTCCAAACCAGCGTTCACGAGATTGAAGACAACTCTAGCGTTTGACGTCACGTTAAATTCCGTCAGTGGCGCGAGATTGCCATTCCATCTGCCCTTCCCATTGATCATCCCTGATATGTATTGTAACGAGCTAGTCTTGATACCGTCGTGACTGTATCCCCTGTGGGAAGGCGGGTTGACCAGCTCTCCAGCCCCTCGCCTCTCCTGTCGCCATGGCGACATAAGATCAAGTGTCGACGCATCAGTATGTTGCCAGTCATTCAAAATAAATGGAAACCTTATCACTGTTTCTGCAGCTTGTTGGACTCGTTTGAGCTTTTTCTTATCATGAACAATCAGCATACCGAACAAACCATCGGCTCTCTGGTTTGTTATGTGTGAATGGTACCAATGAGTACCAACAGGATCAGCTTTGAACCTATACGTGAATGTCTGCTTTGGCTGTATAGGACATTGTGTGATGAACGAAACACCGTCCATATAGGACGTTCTTCGCTGATGCATTCCGTGCCAATGTATAGATGTCCCTTGAGCGATGAATTGGTTTTCAACGTGTACAACAACCTAGAATTAGAATAAGACGTATGAGAAGTACATGTACTTAGATAGAAGATAATTCAAATATGAAGCATAATCGTTCTGTATATAAACGACATGATGATATCTATGAAGATTAGTAATTCATTTCTTGTAACAACAACCCCTCTATAAGTTCTAAACCTGTGCTTTCCATCGAAAAGTAACGTAGCTCAGGTCAAATTGGATATTATTAGTAAAGTGAAAGATAAACTGACGTTGATACTCGATCCAAATGGGGACATCCAATTGCAAAATTTACGGAGTGGAGTTTACATTAGTAGCTTCTTTATAAGTTTTTGTTTAAATATTTACAATAATTTCTTGCAAAATTGATTTTATAGAATTGACCACGGAAGCATTTCTGTAAATATTCTTCAGGGCTAACGATTTTTCAACCATATATTATATTATATTGTATTCATATTATATGATATTATTGTATTGACCTATGTAACACATTAAATGTTCACAGTTTATCATGTTTATTGTAAATTTAATTATGGGCAGTTATACACCCCCTGGGGTGTCATAGCCCGTATAATGTTGTAAATTTTGTAATGAAAACTGAAATAAATTATTTTGAAATTGAATTGAATTGAACCACAACCGAAGATGGCCGGATATCTAGCCCTAATCTTTCAAGGAATTTGATTGGTTCCTTGGAACATCTTCGGCCATTTTTGTGATATAATCATCTTCGTTTGCGTTGCTTCGGTCGAGTGTCTATGTGTTCTTGACACGCTTGGGCATCCAGGAATGACAGCGACCACACAAAGTTCAAAGTTTGCACGTCATATTGATGTACTTTATGACCTAAATCGGGAAAACAAAAAGATGTGATATTATTTCAGAATTGCTTATAATAACTAGTTGCAGAAATGTTCCCGAGACACGAATCCATTTAGGCAGGAGTATGTTTTAAAGTGAGAAAGCCCCAATGAAACAATACGAACCCAGAGAAAACTCAGAAGACTGCAGATTTCAGGTAATATTTTACGTTCATGTAAACAAGTAATCACTGGCCTACGTGACATGTACTAATGTTCAAACTGTAATATGCTCTACCTGCTTAATAAGGCAATCTATCTTCAAATAAAACCTTAGCCAAGTAGATAAGAGTCTCTTGAATATTTTTGCAAATAGTTTTTACAAATAGTTTTTACAAGCAATTTGTTTGTGTATCTCAAATTTTGTCATCCCAATTTTAGTCATAAATTACGTCAATATAGCATGCAAACCATTGGTAGCAATTGTCATTCCCAGATGCCCAAATGTCTCAGGAACACAAAGGTACTTAAATGACCTTGATTGGACATCATGGTGCAGATAAATCGTAATTTTATTGAGTGGCTCCATAAAACAAATAAATAGGATTTAAGCCACCTTAAAGGATCCTGTTTAGAGAACACAACGCCACAAGAGCTAGCTTTTGAGTTGATAATGTACAGATCACAATAATGCAACGGACATAACAACAGACCTAGGCTGTATTTTTGTATGCGGTACTAGTGAATTGCGTAATATTTTATTGCAATCGATTTCCTGTGGTGCACTAGCAACTAGCCGACGTGGTTGACACATGCGGTTTCCGACAAGTTTGACACATTGTAATTAACGGTGTATGTGGGCTTGGATGAATTGGTTTTATTGAAAACGTGCAACCATGTAATTTGCAACGCAGGGTCTTATTGTTATTTTCCGTGATACCTAGGGGGGAAAACTTATTAAGTATTCTGCAATTGACTTGCGCCGCGGGCAGTTCAAAAACTCAGCCCTTGTGTGGGTCACCATTCTGTATTTTAGTCTTACACGAACTGAACAGGTAGGTTTCATTCGTTATTTCTCCACATGAATAATTTGAACAGTTTAAAAGAAAACATATATGTTTCACAACTGGATACAATTCAAAAAAATCTATTTCAAATTCATTCTAGTGTGACAAGTATACGTTTACGTTTCAAAAGAAGTTTTATCAAAAGTTCTCTCATAACAAAAAATGATTATTTTGTGTCGTATGACTTCTTAGAGCCACACAGATCATACTTATTCAGAGTATTTTTGACAGGTTTGCACTCTGTCCCTTTGTCCCTTTGACTTACTCGAAGGGCACTTAATTTCATGTCAACTCAAGAATACATTATCGGTAAAAAGTATATAATTCTACTTGCAAAATTCACTATATGGTCCCATTGATATCACAGTCCAAATATTCTTATTCGTAGACTAAATTCAACTTCAAAATATCATATTCCATTTTCTCATGATTCATATACGAGGCTCGATCAGAAAGTTTCTTACCAAATGCTCTCTTTTTTTTATTTCTTGACATTTTAATCTGAATTATTTACAGAATATACATACACCATTTACCTTTAGTTTACAAATATTATTTTGGGTAATCAATGTTTACTGTTGAGGTTGCCATAGCAACCAAATTCAAGGAAGGGTGGAGCAACTGTATTTTGTAGCTGAACCTAACCTACTTTATCTCTTTTAGCAATCACATATCATCACTTTTTGTATAGGTTTAATGTCCAATGTGTTCAACTGAATTGTTGCTATGGTAACACTGCTTATGTGATGTCATAATATTCTAGTCATGGTATGTTATGCCCACTTACTTTGATTGGCAGCCATTTTGTTCATGGGTGATTGCTTTATTTTTAAAATCAGTGAAAACAGCTTACAAATATTCAATTTGCGTAAAATTGGGGTTAAGCAGACGGGAGACACTACAGAAGATACAGAATGCATATGGATAGGAGGCCATGTCCCGTCCTGCTGTTTATGAGTGGTATGATAGGTTCACATCAGGTATGGAAACCTGCCAGGATGCCCCAAGGTCAGGTCGCCCACTAACCAAACCCTTCTGACCCAGTTATCTACTCCCGATGTCGTAGATCTACGACGTCAGGAGTAGATAACTGGGCCAGACGAGTTTGGTTAGTCGCCCACTTGTCAGGACAGGGAAGTTAATTGAAAGTATTCATGATCTTACAAAACAAGACAGGCGCATTTCCATCAGACAAATAGCTGAAACATTGGGTGAGAGCTATGGGACAATAGAAAAAATCATTATAAAGACCTCGGGTACAAGAGGAAGACAGCAAAATAGATATCGAAACTCTTGACCGAAGATAAAAAAAATGCTAGATGTCTGTCGGCTTTGTACAGTGCTATGAAGTGGAGGGTGATGATTTTCTCAAACAGATTGTAACCGCAGATGAGGTACTCGTACATTACTATGACCCTGAAACTAAATCTCAGAGTAGTATGTACTGTGGTGAAGGCAAAGGCACAAGACCACGCAAGGCAAAGGGGATCAAGTCCATTACCAAGGTCATGTTTATTGTCTTATTTGATTCTGAAGGGGTGATTTTCACCTGCGAACATGACAGTAAATGTTGCGTATTATTCAAAGGTAATAAAAAAATCTCAATATATCAACATTTACTTTCAATCGATTGAGCAATATGTTTTATTTCTAAAAGTCTTAAATATGCAGATATTTTGAATTGTTTCATTAACTCAGGCAAAATCCTGTGTTGATCAAACATTTATCAAACATCTTTTTTTCAGACAATTGCAATGGACTTTGAAGAACGCTTTACGGAAAAAATGCCCAATATGCTTTCACAGGGATTTATCTTTTATGATGATAATGCACCTGCCCATAGGGCAAACATCACAACTGACACAACACACAACTATCTTCCAGTGACAGAAAGACTCCCCCAGTCTCCTTATTCACCGGATTTGGCACCATGTGATTACTACTTGTTTGAAAAAGCCTCTCCGCGGATTAAAATTTGAGGTATGAATCAATAATTGAAGCCTTCAATAGCAGCCTCTATAGAATATCTGATTCCAATGAAATCCTCCTTCATATGTTCAGCGATCGTGTCACCAGATGCAGGAAGTGTATCTCATTCGGGGGAGATTATTTTGAAGGCATGTGAGGCACGAAAGACTCTCAATTAATACCCATACGAGTATCAAGGAAGGCGTAAATCGCCCTTATTACAGACAGAGACAGCTGATCCACCCTAGCTAATTTCAAATCCAGAAACATCTGTATTTTGTAAATCTCATTCAATTAATAAATAATTTACAACGTATATACTGTGAAAATTTCAAGTTAAAATCTCAAGAAACAAAAAAATGAGAGCACTTGGTAAGAAACTTTCTAATCGGGCCTCGTATATGTTACATTTGGTCACCAGTGGTGTATTTACTAACTTACCCTTGATATCGACGATTTCAACATGCTCTCAATTGGGATTTCTAAAGTTATTTTACCGTCTTGGGAAAATGAAAGATATGTTTTTTAAAAGTCAATAAGTTGGCTATAGAGATCTGCAATATCAGAAAATTCCTCAGTTGACTTCTGGAGAAAATGACACTTTAGTAAAGCCATATTGACAGTAGTTTATAATGGCGGTCAATAGGGATTTCCTAAAATTCAAACGTCAATATATTTTGAACTAGACAAAATCCAGCTTGTAACCCTTCTTATTTTAAAGACATGCAAGTTATGTTTACATTCCAGGGATATTGACTTTATTGCTGTTGAACTGTTCTGCAGTCTGGGGTCTTTTGAATATTGACAAATGAACGTGGGACTCAATGAAGTTTTCGTGAGCAACTTAATAACTAGATATATTGAAAATAATTTTTTTTTAGAAATGTCCCTGTTTGGTTGTTTATAAGTCAATATATTGGCTATAGAAATCTGCAACATCAGAACATTCCACAGTGGACTTTTTGAGAAAATGACACTTTAGTAAAGCCATATTGATAGTTGTTTATAATGGCGGTCAATGGGGATTTCCCAAAATTAAAACGTCAATATCTTTGGAACTACAGAAAATCCAGTCTGTAACCTTTCTTATTTTGAAGACATTCATCTTATGGTTACATAGGTTACATCGTAATAGGAAGATTGACTTTATTGCTCTCGAACTGTTCTGCATGGGGTCTTTTGAAAATTGATAAATAACATGGGATTCAATGGAAGCATGCACAATTTTCGGGGCTGTTATCATCCACTGAGACCACTTACTAACACCACTGCAGATATCCAAAATATGTATTAATGATGCTGTGGTCAAAAAATTGTCCCTTATATATAGCAAGTGCAATTATACTGCTAATGCCTTGGTCACATAGGCTCCGATTTTCTCTACGGCGCCCGGCCGATTGAGTATTTTGTTCAAAATTGAATACAATATTGAACGAAACACTCAATCGGCCGGGCGCCGGCCGATGGATCGGAGCATATGTGAACAAGGCATTACATAAACAGGCAGAGGTGTTTATGCCTTGGTCACATTTGCTGCAATTCATCGGGCAGCGCCCGGCCGATTGAGTATTTTGTTCAAAATTGAATACATTTCTGAACAAAATACTCAATCGGCCGGGCGCCGCAGTGAAAATCGGGGCAAATGTGACCAAGGCATTATGCAGTGACTTCAACCTGTGAACCCTTGAGTAATACCTTGGTCACATTTGCACCCATTTTCACTACGGCGCCCGGCCGATTGAGTATTTTGTTCAAAATTGAATACAATATTGAACAAAACACTCAATCGGCCGGGCGCCGGCCGATGGATCGGAGCAAATGTGACCCAGGCATAACATTCCGGGATGGCGCCTTTTATATAAAACGATGAGCAACACCAAAAACGAGCGTTTGATTTGCTAAACGATATGCGTTACACTTATTAGTTAAAGTTCTTGATTTAAGAAGTAATTTCATTTGGATCAACTTAAAACACCATTAGAATATAACTGCAGGGTGGTCCAAAAAAATGGGACACTCATATTTCAAAAATAAATATTGATTTTCTTGATGAAAACATGTCATATTATATACCTGTGGATAGGGAATTAATTTGGTATATTTGATATATCATAAGTTCAAATTTATTATAATGTCTGTCAACCAGCGTCCGTTATATACATGACGTCATTTTAGTTTCAAAATGGGTTTTCCAAAACTTGCAAAAAACAACACAAACAGACGTCCAATATGTCCACCATTTTGATGAATTATAGCCGTCAATGTTGGCCTAAACTGGTGAAAAACGTCATTGATATTCTGTTGAGACAATGAATTTCACTTCTCAACAAGTCTATCCTTAATAAGGGACTGAGTAGATGTAAGGGGTTCATGGTAAACCAATTCTGTTAGTTCTCCCAATACGTGGTAGTCACAGACGTTGACATCGCATTATCCAATTATGCTATTTTTAGACCATCCTGATATGAGCTCATTCTCGAATCATTACATTTTCCAACAAGATGGGCCTGCAAGCAATAGATCTCACAAGAGAGTCAAATGTTTAAAGGAAACTGAGCCTAGATTCATCCCCCTAGTCGCTGCCTCCCCAGACCAGATCACACGATCACCCAACATCTGCGACTACCAGGGGAAAACTAACAGAACTCGTGTACCATGAATCCTTTACATCTATTCAGTCTCTTGAGGACAGAATTGAATCAATGAGAAGTGAAATTCATAGTCTTAACAGCATATCAATGATGCTATTGGCCAGTTTAGGCCAAAATTGAGGGGTACAATTGATCAAAATGGTGGACATATTGCATGTCTGTTTATGTAAATAAAGTTGACAATAAAACTTGTTTTTGCAAGTTTTGGAAAACCCGTTTTGAAATGAAAATGACGTCATTTATATTATGGACGCTGGTTTACAGACATTATAATTAATTTGAACTTATGATATACCAAATTAAAGATCAGTAAATTCCCTATCCACTGGTATATTATATGACATGTTTTCATCAAGAAAATCAATATTTATTTTTGAAATACGAGTGTCCCATTTTTTGGACCACCCTGTATATGATATTATTGACATGTGGATTGTGATTTCACATTAGAATTGTGATCCTCGGCCTTGTACAAGTAAATGAACTTTTAAAGGTTTTTCAGCATTGTGTCAATGGAGATTTAGCCCGGCCTTTTTTAGACAACTAGAAAATCATTAGAATTTGAATTAAGGTAAATAATGGTGCAAATCAAAGTTGTTCAGATAGTTAATTACACACAGTATTCAAATATTCCATCAAAAAGAAGAAATGTTAGTCTTTAATGGTTAAAAATGCAAATCTCCTAAAATCTCATTAAAAATGAGACTTTGACGAGATTTTAAAGCTATATGGAAAAGGGACCATTGTTCAGCAACAATTTTCACCGACGCATATCATACACCCTAACCTATTTTGTGTTGAAAAAATAAGAAAATTTGTGAAAAATAAGCAAGAAATTAATTTATAAGTGCAGAAGAGTGGTTCAAATATAAAAGCATTTTTAAATTTTAGTTCTTAAAACTAATGGTACATTCAAATTGAGAACATGATAAGAAGATATATTTTCAACCGAGATAGGCCAACTATATTGCTTCATTTTAAAAGATTGGCATATTTAGGATATATTTGTACAAGAAAAAATTAGTAATTCTTAAAAAGATATTTGCCACCTTTCGAATTTATATCAAAAATACCCAACACATGAAATAACCAGTTCTTGTTTAAAAATTGAGGCTAGTGGCAAAACGTCGGATATCACGAATTATGATATAAAGGATTCTGAAGTTTGTGACGTCCCAAAACTGAATTTTGTACAATTTACAGACATATTATATGACCTTAATATTATACAACTAACTTATAAATGTTATATTTATAGACCCAATACGTTTACATTGTCCTATTATGTTAAACTTTCAAACACTCAATAATTTTTGATATACTATTTTAAATGTGGTCGATCATACAACCATATAGGTGTCATGACCACAAAGTATAGGTGAAATGAATAACATGCGAAAACATGCAATCTACAAATATTGTGAGTAAATCAAAAAAATCAAATCAAAATCATTTCAAAAGTAAACTAGCACAGACTATACCTGAGCCCCCTCAGTGACCTCTATCGGTGGTCCAGGAAACTGGTCATTTACGACAATGATGTTTCGTGATAAGCCATCTGCTGTTATGATGTCATCCGGATTCACAGATGTATTCCTATTTGTGTCTCGATGAAATCTACAAAAACATTGCAATATAGGTGAATTAAATGAACGTCACAGAAGTACCATGGGTAGAACATGCGTCTCAAACATGATGCATGAAGTTGTCACTTCCTGTAGTTTTCTGTAAAGTGCCATTACTTTACCAGCATATATACACGTCAGAAACAACTATAGGGGTTGAGCTAAACGTTGACCAATTTCACTGGAATTAGCCCGGATGGGTCTATACTCCATAAATTCAATGATTTAAATAGCAAGTACGTTTCTTTGCTTTAGTGGGTAAATGACAAATAAAAGTGTTTAATTTAGTTTATTTTTTAGGCAAATTGAAGCGGCCTTCAAATTGCCAGGAATTTTCTTTGTGCAGCTTCGGCAACCACATTTCTGCGACCTAATCCAAAATGACAGAACAAGTTTTTCATACCATTGGTGTTTTTTGCAAAAAGAATTGTAATGACTACAGTATGAATGAAATGTCCCTTGGCATTACGGTCTCGGACCTGACGTACACGTACATACTGGCTCGGTTCGTGTTCCACTTCCAGCCTAGATTATTTCCTTGTTTTCGCCATACTCTCCTTGTTATTGTTTCCTTTCCAGGCTATCATACAGGGTGTCCCAAAAATATCCCCCCCCCTAGGCAGACATATTCCAGTGTCCTCATAGTATGTGTCATATATCATTTCAAAGCTTATCCAAAGTTACATTGATTTGCCAAGTATCATGGTTTAACTCCTAAATGGGAAAAAGTTACAGTCATTTTAAAAGTTAGTGTTGTCAAAATAAAGTTCAAGTTTACACCACATTACTAGTCAATGTGTCCCCTTGGCCATGTATTGTTAACAGCAGCAATAATTTTCAGATATGGCCTTAAAAGCCCTTCAAATAGGGCTGTGGAATTTTATAACCCTCTTAAAACCTGTTAAGGGACTTTAGAAGAGTTTCCTTAGAGTTTCTACCCTCACTGTTCTCTTTTTCGAACTCAAAATCCCTCCGACCCGAAAATAATTGCTGCTGTTAAGATGGCCCGGGAGGACACATTGACTAGTGATTTGGTGTAAATTGAACTTAATTTTGACCAAACGCTAAATTTTGAAATGCCTGTAATTTTTTCACATTTGAGAGTTGAACCATGATACTTGGCGAATCAATGTAACTTTGGATAAGCTTTAAAATGATATATAACACATACTATGATGACACATGTATATGTCTGCCTAGGGGGGGGCATACTTTCGGGACACCCTGTACTCTCTGTGTTTCGTACAGGCAACAACTTGGTACTGCCTCATGGTTCGTGTTACACTTCCAGGCTACCGCGGTTGTACAGCCAAACGTATATCCCTTACACCGGGGGCTACTTCGATCGAAAACCACCCAACTGCCATCTTTATTTACAACCCTTTATCTACCCGCGTATATACAAACTACCGCCGAGTAAAGACCCGAAGATGTCTGGAAATGCAGGGGATAAGTTAATTAACTCCTGTTTATATATTATGTTTCTTAATTTGAGAAATAGATAAAACACAGAATTGTTTGTAATATATATAGTTGTTCCAGGCACTCATGTTTGCAGAATAATGAGTACTTTATGCAATATTTACCATCAAATCGCTAAATTCAACTTCCAAATATTACAATGATGTTTTACATCTTAAATAAGAAAGAACCATGGCTGTAATTACTCTATTTGATTCAGATACAATAGGTGCAAATATCACATTTGTTTCACTGCCATACGTTGCATATCATTGAAATCACGGGTGAAAGTTGAAAATGAGAGACCCGATTATACCACGAGTATTCCGATTATTCCGTGAGTAAAACCCGTCGGCCGATGAGGTAGTGAGTAAGCTTTCGGATGTTCATATAATAGCATGAAGTTTATCACAAAAATGAATATGATATTATTCCCGCAGCACTATACGTCAACGTCTGTGTCCCGCAAAGTTCTTTAAAACATTGACTTCATGCTTTCACTCGAATGACCATAATTTTCATTGTTGATGATGTCATCACTTCTATCTGACTATGTTCATAATCCTTTGACTTTGGTGCGTGTTATTTTGTATCTACCAAGACGGTAGAAATATGAAAAAGTTATATATTTTGATTGGTCTAAAATGTGCAAAGTTAAAAGACCCGTTATGCTCATTCGCTCTCAATTTTAAATAAGATATCAGTAGAATGGCTACTAAAATGAAAAAAGATTGACCATATTCATTTTTATCCATAAATATGGATAATAATTGATTTAAATGCAATTTCGTGCTATTCCTATCCTCTGGTGTTGATAGCCTAATTTCTTTTGTGCCAGTCTGGGTCAAAATGTTACAATAGTATTAATAACGAGGAACCCTTCTAATAAAGGCAATTAAATCAAGGTTCGAAAACTCCCAAAAGTAACACTAACACTATTTCATCATCAGCACGTCATAAACTCAACGATGTCATCGGATCTCAACAGATTTTACTCAAGTTATGTTCGGATTCTGAGATCCTTTACTCAAGATATTTTCTGATCTTTATAATATAATCGTAATTACAGGTTTGTGTGTCTTTTCATTCCCCTTTTTCCATTTCTTATTGTTCTGATGACATCACACAAGACTTACGACATATGGATTTTCATTGTGGTGTAGCTTGTGGGGAAAACTTGTGAATTCTGGCAGCCATTTTGTTTCAAGTAAATTTTCTCTTTCTGCTGGCAAATGAACAATGATTGATACGTTTACACCAAGTAAACTTCAAAAATGGAAACACAGAAACCTTATTGAATGCATAGTGAACAATGGGAAAACTCTTAAAGAGACATATGACATTGTCAAAGGTAGGCCTACATTTGGTGATGAGGCCAAAGACTATACCACAGTGTGGTCTGTGATGATGGTGTAATGGCTTCAAAAGTGGAAAACGTAAAACTCTCTCAGATAAGCCAAGGAAAGGTAGACCTAAGACATATTTAACTGAAGAGAACTCTTGAAGAATCAATGAACTTATTGAACAGGATAGACATCTTAGTATTGACGAAATCAGTAAAATACTGGATATCTCATTTGGTTCTTTATCATTACCATTATCACCAAAGTGCTGAAGAAGCGATATGTGGCCTCCAAATGGGTACCACGATACCTTACGAGGGAACAAAAAGAAGTTCGAGTCAAGGCCTTTACCCAGTTCCTGGACAGATATCGCAGACACGGAGATGAATGGCTCTTCAACATCCTTACAGAGGATGAGGTCTGGGTGTATAACTATGAGCCAAAGAGTAAGAAAGAATCAATGGGCTGGTTTGCTATGGACTCTCCCGTGTGGAGTTAGCCCATCCATAAAGAAGACCATATTCCTGATTTTCTTTGATGCAGAAAATGTTCTTGTCCAGCATCCAGTCGGATCCAGAACGACTATCACTGGAGATTATTTTCCCAAGGTATGTCACACTATATACCTCTTTTAAACGCCATATGCAGTTTACCATTTGAACAAACAATGGTTTATTGAAGAAAGTCCAATTTATTGTAACAAATGGTTCGATCGTATACTTGCAGGTGCTGCAAAAGAAAGTGCGGAGGGCCATCCGCCAGAAGAGGCGACGTGGCTACAAACTCCACTTCCATATGGACAACGCAAGGCCCCATACATTGGGAGCGTGTACCGCAGTCAGCTTACTCCCCAGACACATCACCATGTGACAACTTCTTGCTCTGTCATATGAAGAGGGGATTGAGAGGCATGCGCTTTGAAACCCAGGAGAAACTTACCGCAGCCGTGAGGAAGCGATTGGCTGTTTTATCAGCAGGGGGATATCAGGTTGTCTTCAGAGACTGGGTCCGCAGACATCAACAATGTTTGGCAACTGAGGGCAATTATTTTGAATAATTTCAGAACAATGTTTGAAGAAAATTGATAATAGGAATCTGAGAACAATGTTTTAATATGCAGAAAATTGTTAATATGAGACTAAACAAGGTGTTGGCAAATTGATGTCATTTATTCTGTTTATTGTGTAAAATACATTTGCATGGAACCATGAGGTCGCATCTTTTGTTGCTATGACAACCATATTTTCTTAAAAATGAAGATCCAATCTCCAAAGCTTACAGGTATGTTCACAAATGTATGATCAATGTATGTGCCAAATATGATGACATAACTCAATATAGTTATTGCGACAGAGTCAAAATTGCAAAACTTTTTGATGCACCTAAGCAGATAATAATAGAATGATCCACCACTTTTGAACAAATCTAAGAGATTAATCAATTAAATAAAGCCATGCAAAAAGCGTTTATTCCTTAAGGAAAAATACTAAGATTTTAAGATTTATTGCGGAATATATGACCGAATGTTATTCTGTTCATTGTTAAAAGACCGAATGATTGGGGTCTTTGTCGGTGGTCAGAATAAGATTTGAGGTCATAAAAGCGAGGTCTTTAGTGTGATAAATAGACAAGAAAAACAACTATTTGCATTTTTGAATTTTAGCGGTCATACATACTCCATTAAAGACCAGTAAATCAATTGTTCTAGATATTGCGACGTCACATAACATGTTAGAATTTATGATCACCCCTCGTATACTGTGTAACAAAACACTTATATTCTTAAGATAACTATCCGTTTGGTACTTCGGGATCACCCATAAATATCGTAAAGGCCCCATATAAAAGTTATACCACTTATATTATAGTTCTCCCAATATTATCAAAATAGGATATGTGAAACGTTTCAATTTTGATTTCAAATTTTTCTGATTTTTTTTTTCTAAAACATTGAATTCATTTCAAATAAAATTTTAGTTGTCACGTTAAGGGATATAATTCACACAAATGCATAGCGCACACCCTAATAAATTACGTATTGAAAAATTATGGAAAAACAAATTTTAGTTCTCATTGAATCCAATGCAATGGTACATAATGTACATATACAGAATATGACATAAACCTATTTTCAAACAATGTAGCATACAGTAAAACCTGTCTAATCCGAACACCATTGGGACCGGATAAAAGCGTTCAGATTAGGAGGTGTTCACATTTCAAGGTTTTTGCATTCGCAATATTCCGGATTCTGAAGAAATATGAACACATTCGGTAAATATTTATAGTTCTTTTGACAACATAGCTTTATGGCATTCCAGAAATTTGAAAACTCGATTTAAATGAATCTAGTCATGCTAGAAAGCATCATTATGAATGAGACCATTCAAGATTTTTTCTCAAAGTTTTGATATCATGACAATATTAGAGCAATTTTGTATGAAACATCAGACATTTTATGAAAAGTGTTCAGATTAGACAGGTGAATTTTTCAAATATGACTGTTCAAATTGGGAGGTGTTCACATTTCAAGGTTTTTTTAACATGGGAGTCAACGGGAGGAAAAAATGGGACCGAAAAAAGTGTTCAGATTGGGAGGTGTTCAGATTAGCCAGGTGCTCAGATATACAGGTTCTACTGTATTTAGAAAACATTGTTCAGGGAGAAAAACATAAATCACAATTTTTAAGCATAAAATCATGGATTGAACGGTTGAAATAACATGATGACTTAACTGTTCAATCGGGTAAAGAAAATAATGAATTTTACAGTGTTAAATTAGATGGTCTAACCTAACTTTTGTTTCTAAAATGGTAGGAAATTCAAATATTATGTGATGAAGAACCTTTTCAAAAGTCATATTTTTAAAAAAAATGTCCCAAATGAAAATCTGAAAATCCTGTGGCGGATGGGTTTTGGCACTTCCATAATTTATCTATACGTGAATATTTAAGGCTTTCCACATTTTACATCGAAATGGTATGAAAAGAACTAACTGTGGAAGGGGTTGAGTTAAAATTTGATCAGGTCAAAAAGAAAAATAAATATCTCTGAGAAAGAAAATCAACAACTTTGATCAGGTCTGTTTTAAGACTCCATAGATTCAATGATCAAGTTAAACAAGCAAGCTGACAAAATATCTGTGTTTTTTTAATCTTAGTTATCGCACAATTTGACCATAATAATCAGAGAAAAATGTGCCGTGTCATTCACAATCTATCATGCAGTCGAATCATATAAACATACAGACAACAAATGTAGTGAACGACAATCCCAGACATTTTTACTTACTGTGATGGCTTCATATATAGGTGTCTTCCTTTTAGTTCTACTAAGTTTGAATCCTCCCATCCACTTGCATACCGCTTCGTATGCATCATTGTACGAGACCTTCGCACCACAAAATGGTACTCGCATGTTTCATTCATGCATATTTCAGATCTAATTTGGACAATTGAAACAAAAAATAAAACGATTCGCATAATTTTACGTCCCATGATGGTATTTTGCATTCGGTTATGTGCGAACGTGTAATATGTGTGGTATGAGTGGATAACAACACTCCCTACTGTACACAAATAGGAATCGGCAACTCCATGGTGTAGCAAATCCCACCGAACACTATATTCATGAATCTGTATGTCACCATATAATATTACCCTACTCTACCCTTGTAATACCTTTCAGGACGATAGGCTCCTTTTGACACCATTATTTTTGTCTATATACATCAATGAAATGACAATATCTCCAGTTCTATTCAGTATTTTTACACCAAATTTTGACAAGTTGTTCTAATGTGATAATCCTTACTAAAAATTGTATTTCAGTGATAAAATTCAGGGTATAGGTCCCGGGGCGTAGGTATTTTGCAGTTTTCCCCTAAAAACTGCTCTTACTTATCCGTCACCAGAGCCAACATTTTCCTCTTATATTCACGTCGGGAAAGGGTTAAATTGGCAGATACAATTAATTTAAATACAATTTAAAGACACGCATAAGAGATATATCAGACTTTCACCGGTTTAAGCATTTCGGTGACGAAACTTACGAAAATTACGAAACTTCCTATACACTGCACCCGGGGGCCAGGCTGAAAACACGGATTATACAGGGCGTCAAATAAGTCCTGTCCCCCTCCCTCTCTACAGCCAAAACCAAGATATATGGTACCAAGTGTGATATATCATTGGAAAGGTCTTCCAAAGTTACGTTGATAAGCATATATCTGACACATGTCAATCAATCTCACAAAGGAAGTAGTGCGCTCTCCATTTTAATCTCCCCATGAAAAAAACGTGTTTATCTGATTTTTCAAAATGAGTATACTGCTTTAATTATTACATTTATATGCAAACTATAGGTTATGCTAACTATAAAACTTTCCATCAATGCACATCTTTCCATCAAATATAAAGAAAATCTGTTAACTGGTATTTGAGTCATCTTCCAGACGGGCGGACAAACTGACGGACGGATGGAGGGACGGACGGACGGATGGAGGGCTTTACTATATCCCTACTGAACTCCGTTTATTAGGATGATTATAAATGAATAAGTCAGTCAATGTGATAAAACACTCTTCGAACTATTAACGAAAACGGCAATAGCCTCGCAAGTGCGATTTTCGTTTTCCATGATTTCAAGAGATTTAAGCGTTTGCAAAGAGTACTAGTTCCCGAGACGCCAACATTATCGGTATAATTCATTACTTTTTTGTTTCGCAAACGGAAAGTTAAAAACTGTCAACATTTGCACTACTGTTCCGCTTACGTAACAGTGAGGTACTACTATCCATTCTGGCGTCTAGTAAACTATTTGTTCGAAAATAATTAGATTCTATAATACATATGCATCTTTGTACCAAAAAGGATGATGAAGATTCTATCTAAAATTCTGCCTACAGCTGGTGAAATCATGGAAAAGAAAATTGTACCTTCGAGGCTGGGACATCTTTTTCGTAACTAGTTTCATAACTAGAGTTCCACTGCAGTGTCAGTAGTACACTTTTAATGCACAATTTATGCATAAAAATGTAAGTAAACAATTTCGTGACCAACTTTTGAATGCATTAACCGAATTCTTTTATTTATCCTGAGCTAGAAAGCGAAGCCAAATATCATAAGTGTCAAATGTCAAAGATGCCCACTGTCTAAGGGTTATTAAAGTTATACGATATGACCTTAAAGATTCTCTTCAAATATGATGAGCGGTTGATCACTAAGAGTGTAATCTTAGATAAAGTAGCCTTTCTTAAAACATTAACCTTGATGTCCTAGATGCTTAAGTTCATGGACCCTGTGAAAACAAAAAAACAATAGAAGCAATAAAATATGTTTTATATGTAAATATGAGCTGTCCTATTATAAGTGCTTTTTGCACAGTCACTTATTAAACAGAAATATCGAAATGTACAAAGCAAAATTGACATCCCATGGTATCGAACTGAAACGTACTAAATCAAGTATCAATGGCGTATGTAGCGTCAAATACGCATAAAACGCCATCGTGTACTCTCAAAATCTAGCTCAACGTTCATTTTTTACATTGAATTGTCCCAACGAAGAAAATGGCCAATAGTTTCAGTTTATTAGTACATATTAGACGGAATTTCGTATTTTAAAACGCCCTAGAGCGCTATAAATGTTGGGGAGAAGCCTCCAACCCCCCCCCCCCCCCCCCCAAAGTTTGTTTGCTTCGCTCACTCACAAAATACCAACCTTACGCAACCGAGTATGATGAATATAAATGGAATATCATTTAATACTGCTTTCGGGGAAGTCTTAGCTTCATGTAATTTTCACAGTCACATTTCAAAATGTCGAAATATTAAGGCAATCAGTATCAAATATGTATTGTTAAAATATTCAATATTTTGTTTATGTTAATCTATTTTCTTAAAATATGCTATGTATACACTTAACCCTATATGGGTATGTTCATGTATGTAATAAAGTTAATAATCGTTGTTATATTGTAGACAGAGGTCAAAGTGTTTTTTTATGATTCAAGTGGACCACTTGCAAATGAAATAGGTCATATATTAAATGGTGTAATACCAAGACGTTGTTACATTCACTCCGGAGCATACATGTATTTCTGTTTGGACTCAGTAAAAACACGCTCAAGTCTTTCGGTAGCAGCGTTTTTGTTCTACACCGTGCTGTATTATCACTTAAAATGTTATATCGTATCGTACCAGAATAGATCATGATATACGAGACCTTCAATGAGATTAAACCTTGGCATTGAGACTTTGGCACTGGGATCAACATTTACGATACTTTGAATGTGTTTTATTGGTATTACTGTTTTATCTTAACACTATTTATGACCTCAGCCACAAGGGCAAGAGGTGATTGCCATACTTTTATCTTTGTAATGTGTATCTTGTTTTCAATAATTATAATAGACAAATATTAATAAATATCCATAACGTATACAGATTTTGATGTTTTGGCTTGTTCATGTTTGTGTTCTGAATTGTTTTTAAGCCGATACTAGCTGCTAGCCAGGTGATTTCATATTTTTTCATATTCATCCAAACGATTTCAAGTAAGGGTGTATAAATAATTTATATATACCTTTAGAGTGTTGCTTTTTAGCAATTATTAAGTAATTTTAGCTACTCAAAAGAGTAAATTTGTAAAGAAATGACATGATTGCGATTAATTATTACACGAAGTGGGATTTTGATTTTGCACTACAAGGAAAAAATTCTCACTAACTACCTCACATTGAAAATTTGCCATTTGGCGGTTGTACACGCGGGTACTGGCCCTATGTACAAGTTCGTGAAAAGTTTGTATATTTATGTGTTGATGTTTGAGAAAAAACACTTGGCGACACGAATGTCCCCTTAATACGTGGATTGACCGTTTATCCTACATTCGATAACCATCCAGCTTCAGAGTTTCGTCTTTAGTACGGGAAATTTGAAATTTCGCGTTGGTGTCACGGGAATCATTATACTCGTGTGAGTCGTTTCGTACCGAATTCTATGCTCACAATTTGATTTCGATGCACAGTACAATAATTCTTTCTGGAAAAGATAATGTGCCATGCATGTTTTAGCTCCAAACAAATGTCTTTCGAAACGGGCTTGCTTAAAATATGTATCAGAAAATCAGCTATAGAACTATCAACGGCTCTATTGTTTCTTCTGCTCAAACACGAAGATTTTGTCAATTTTTTCCTTTTGCATGATATATGTATCTTCGCGTATTGAGTGAAATTGGCAAATTGTCCGACTGTTTGAAAGCGCTGGTCCTTTTGACATGCTATATTGTATAAAACTGTCAAAAGAGATTGCATAACTATTTGTTTAAATACGTATTTGTATCGTGATTTTAGTTCTAAATGTGTTGCATCTATCCAAGAAGCCACGTATCTTTTTGTAATTTTCTTGTATTGGTGGCTTCTGTGTGATTGTTTGTATTTGCATCACACCATGTTTGGTGTCAACTTAAATCCAAGACCTATAAAAGAGACCACATTTCCTGGTATCGTTAGACGGTGAAGGAAAACAAGCGAATGATCTTAACTTGCGCTGCATGCCATACTTCCTCACTTTAAGGTAAGTCATATACAGGTTTTTAACATGCAGTTATTTTCAGTTAATGAGAGAATTTGGCGAAAGAGGTAAAATTTAAAAACGTTCTTGCTCCACATTCAAAATGTAAAATTGGCTTCAATATGAATTTACAATCGACATTTGGAGTAATTTTTTCACATATTTAGAACATCAACGAATAATTATAAACAATAATTTCATGTGTCAACCAAAATATGACTTATTAAAATGCTTATCTAAAGACAAAAAAAACTGACAATGACAATTCAAATAGTTCTACGCTGGACTTATTTGCATACGGCTACAACAGTTAATGTTTCCACAGGTCTACTTTGAAGTTGAAGTAACAATACGCAATACCCAGTCTGACAATACACATCTGATCAACCATGAAGCTCCATATGATCCTATTGATCGCCCTGGTATCTGCCGTTGTATTGATGGACAGCTCTGAAGCATGGATCGCAAAAACAGTGTGCAGGTAGAAAAATAACACTGATTTCAGGATTATACATTTCAATTATAGCTTAAAATAAAGTTCACAAATTTTAGAATCCTTTTCGAGAATGTGTCAAAGTACTCTTAGCACTAATGCATTAAAAAGCAACTCTAAATACCAATGTAAATATATTTGCTGGGCTATATACCTCCCCATTTTTATTTGTAAATAACTTTTTAATGATGTACATATTTTAGAAATACCTTTGATAAAAGTGCGGGGATCGCTTCAGAAATCGGTCCTCAAATAGAATATGTATAATATGCATTTTTATATACGTGAAGATTAATCCAAACAATTTTATACATTTCTAGAATTGCATTATCCAAGGTGTGTTCAGCTGTTGGGTGTTACTTATCGGCTGGATGGGGCTGTTTATTTGCCACAATTGGTTGTTCATGGTCATCAAGATCGATCTGTGGACGGCGAAAAAGGCGAGCTGCAGTATAGGTAATATTTCAATTTTCGATTAGTTAAACTAGGTCATCGGCCCACGTGCAACATGACGTAGTTTAGAGTTAAAGGTATTCAGGTTTACGAAGCTCTGTAATTCATTATACATATTTACAGACATTTATAAGATAATCTTGATAGATGATTTAGTTATGATGCAAACTATTTAGATTATAAGGAATAATATACTTAATAGCTACATGCATAGTGCTATTTATACGAGTTTTTCTTCCCCGCAGGCATAGATTGTATGGGTACACAGAAATAAAGACCATGCCCAATTCGATTATAAACGTGCTAAATAATTTTTCAGGCGACGTTGAGGAAAATGAACACCTCGTCCCATTACCAGCTCTCTTTGAATCCCATGACTTGAGTGGAGACATGAAAATAACCGCACAGGAGTTGGCCCTAGCTACAGGGATGGACGAACTAGAGACACTGAATGTGGCCTTCCCACTTTGTGATACTAACGGTTAGTGAAACATTTTAAACATATATATAAAGTGCAATTGTGGAAGGCAATACTTTTGTTGTATAGCATATTGATCCGTTATCTGTAAAGTATGAAATAATATATATTCGTTTTATAGATGTCTCTAGTCTTGCTTCAAGACTAGATCTCCCTCTAGTCTTATCTATTTCACCATTGAATCAATGATAGATAGTGATAGATCATGAGTTATTGAATTATTTGAAGTGCGATACAGGATATATTCTGCTCGAGTGTATTAGCACAGCTCTGCCAACGATGAAGCTCACGTTTGTATTTTGCTTCTGCTGCCAACGATGCAACTGCCGTTTGCTGCCAAGCTTTCGTGTGCCTTCGACTTCCGTTCAATGTGTTATTGGAGGTAGACCTGCATATTTGTACCCCCCCCCCCCCGACCACAAGTACACATATACAGTTGTTACCTTCAATTCTCCAATCTAGCTTGTACCCGAGATTCAATCAATCAATCAATCAAAAAGAACATATATGATTTAGGCAACCCCAGGCCAAACTAAATGTAATATAATTTAAACGTGTGTTCGATGTGAATCATAAATTGTTGTTGGGTTTATCCATAAATTGTTGTTGGGTTTATCCATAAATTGCTGTTGGGTTTATCTATAAATTGTTGTTGGGTTTATCCATAAATTGATGTTCGGTTTTAGGTGATGGTTTTCTGTCTCGGGAGGAGTTTGTTAATTCTCCCTTACAGTGGAGGACTTTAGGGACGCCAAAGTGGGTAAGAATAACTGTTTTTGTATAATAACTAGTTCTGTTTTTAAACACTTGGTGTGCGCATGGTAAAGCAAACCAGGATTTCATACTGAGTTAATGTAAGAAAAATAGACAATGGGACGAAGATAAGGAATAACGTTGTTTTGACATGTCAAATTTAAGGTAGTTGTTTGTAAGTGTCAACAATTCCACCAATCCACTAAACTGTACATGTTATTTATCAGTTCAAAATATATATTTTCTAATGAACTGCGTATGTTCTCTATACTAAAAATGTTCTTAATGCCTGATATTGTTTCAGAACACAGCAGTGGAGGCTCAAAAGGTGAACAGCACATAGATGAAAGTGGTTAGGCGAGGTCGCGTCCTCTCCATGGTCTGATGAGATGCAGCACCTGTGTAGAAATGATAAGAAAGCAAGAACACAAAAATGACATTACACAATGGCATGCAAATATTGCTTTTAATCGTGCTTGTTGCTTAAAATAGCCTCGATCTTGTATGATTGTGTGTGTGTGCCTCTGAGAAGCCGATATTGGTCACCGAATTTTAGAGAATATGGAGCATAAACGATTCTCTAAATGTGTGTGGACCTTAAATACTAGAATAAGCCATAACACAAAGCTACCAAGACGTTTTGAAATTCACTAGATAACGTCCAGGCCCACCTCTGAATTGAGCTAGATTAGTCTCTCGATTATTGGAACTGTTTGATTATTTGCTTGTGACTGACTAGATTTATCCTTCATTCAAAGGATTATTACCCAATTCATGGAAAAGGTAAAATACCCTTGGACCAAGGATGGACTAGATTTTCAGTTAGCGGGTGTTACAGTTAACATGCGTGTAAAATATTTAGATACACATCGATCTCCTTCTTGGTGAAAATGATGAAAACAAAACTTTCCTCTAACGGATGTTCATCCATCCAGGTGGGGATCAGTCACGTGATTTAAACGCTTGTAACGCGTTACACGTAAAAGCTCTTGATTTCTAATATGCCATACATGTACGTACATGCTTAGAAATAAAATTGTATATAATGTTATTTGAAGACGTATGTTTGTTGGTATTGTGGCAACAATTTCTCCTTTAATTTGATATCAGAAACCTACATATCTAGTATTACATATATCATTCTACATGATCTACAAGTATATCGACAAATAAACACATATACTTTGAGCAAAACTGGTGACAAGATTGTATAGAAGTAAGGTTACCTTGGCACGGTGACCATTGAAATTTAGCATTTATATGAAATATATGTATAACCATAGAGTACAATTCCACTTCAATTAAAAGTCCATAGATCACAGACATGTTTTACCTTCTATAAAATATTTCGTCTTACACCCATAAGACTTCGTCAATTTTGGCAGGAAATTTTGAAATTGCTACCGGTATGTGAAAGAAATTATGGTCCACTTTTTAAAGGCCCTTACTGGCCCTGATTGTGTATAAGATAATAAGGAAAAGAGGTCATCACATAAATCAATGGAGAGTGGGACCATAAATTAATAGGACCTCATACCCTCCTACACCGGGCTGGCGAAGTTTCATGGATGTACATGTATGACGAAATATTTTTTGTATATTTTATCTAATAAACATGTCTGTGGACGAACTTTCAATTGAGATAATAAATATGAATAATACCAGCATAAAGATGAACATTAGGTGGTATTTAATTTTATTGTTTGACGTTTGTACCAAGACAGATACATGTATGTATATAGCTCTATATAAATGGTGTTTTGATACATTAAAAAGATGGCAGATGAATCGCTATATTCAATTACAGAGTTTAATCATTCATAAAAATGCAATCTAGTTGAAATTCATGGATATATTACAAATATTAATCTTTGGAATCATTTAACTTCTTTTTTCATCTAACTGTAAGCAATGCCATCTTCGCACGCTCGGTCTGCACTACGAGCCGAGTGAACAAAGATGAATCAATGCATAAGCGTTGTGAAAATACTGAGTGTAATAGAGGCTTTCATTGTCGAATAATTATGTCACACTCATTCCACACTCAACACTCTATTACTCGATGATAAATGAGGTTTAAAATGGCTTTATAATCCATAATCCACCATGGAAATGCATAACCTCGTATAATGCATCAAAAGGGACAATCATTAGAAGTCCTTAAAGGTTATTTCAGAAAACGGCAAAACATCTATAAAAAGAAATACAGGGTGGCCTTTAAAAAGGAGACCATTGAAATAGGCAATATCTCCTAAACTAGACAAATGACATCAATGAAATTTTGCAAACACCAGAACATCTCTATTGAAATTTGTTCCTGAAAGTTTAAATATAACCAGTCGACTGGTTCAGGAACTGCGATCATTTACATTATGATACATGCCCCATATGGCCTCAATTGAGCAAAAGGCAGAGCTCGATTCATATGGCAAAATTGTCCATTACCCTTAACCCATTAAACCCTTATTACGGCATCACATTTAGCAGTGATTGCCTTTTTAAGGTCAGCAATTGTCTGTGGATTGTTTTGGTATACATTGCCTTTCAAATAGCTCTACAAAAAGAAATCAGACGGATTAACGTTAAGGGTGTATGGAGATCAAATCAAATGGACAATTTTTTCATGGGGAGATCATAATGGAGAGCGCGCTACTTCCTTTCCATATAACTGTTCTGGTGTTTGCAAATTTTCATTGATGTCACTTGTCTATAGTTTAGGAGATATTGCCTATTTCAATGGTCACCCTGTACAAAATCCATCTACAATATTCACTTGCAGGCAAATATGTCATTATGGCAACCATATTTTAGATGGCCGTTCCAAAACGATACACCCTCATTCTAAAAGTAGTGCCTAGATATTCTGTTTGATAAAATAAATTGTCAAACATCTAAATGAAAAACAAATGTTTATGTGTATATAGTCCTCATTTTTGGTGTTCCAGTTTCGAAACCTGACTGCAAAACGTATGTGCCGTAAAATTATGAAAATGACAAGGTTAGCAATTTTTCAGAATCTAGGTCACGGTCAAGACCTTTTATATAATACGTAGTATAGGAGTATAGAAGTGGCCACTGTAGTACATACTACAGTCCCCTCCGGCCCAGCTCTATAATTTTGCAACCAGAAGTTTTCAGTTTTCATTAAATTGGGTAGCATAGCAAACCCTGTTAATGTTTGAACCTCCATTTTGTTCCTCGATAACGATAGTTTGGGATTAGATGACAAAAATCTTTTATCTTTTAATCGACAAACATAAAAGGCTTTAATAAGTGATTCAAACCGACATCCGGTTGCCAAACATATTTAGGGGAGTGTAGCTATGTGAATGCCATTTTAATAACTCCTTAGCAACTAAGACAAACTACTGATAATTAATACTAGGTAGCTAGGATACTTCGAGTAAAAATGAAAAAATCATCGACTACCCTTTAAATGCTCATTTTTCTAAGTGTGTAAGTCTTATGAATGTTTATTTCAGATCAACTAAAAACTGTTATGATTTCTTAATCTCGCCTAAATGTGTTTTGGGGTTTCATGTTTAGGGTGAACCGTCTCTAGGCGTGGCTGTGTCATCTCTTCTTAAAGTGGTATTAAAAATAGCGTGCTTGTTTACTTAAGGTAATTGCTATTCATACCTTGCAAGCTATTGGTTGAGAAGATCAATTTTCTTTTTTACGGATTTGGATAATAGAAATCACTGGCTGTTGTACAATAACAATACTTCAAACATAGCAACCGAGGAATATTATCCAATAATACCATTCTCTCAGCATAGTAATTAAACCTTGCGCTTCCTTTACCTTTCCTCGTATATTATATTGCGACTTTGTGTTTATCAAGTTTATATGTTACAATTTCACTCTTTGGTATTTTATTCTACTCATCAATCGGTACAACAGTGGAATTAATTTGCGGGTGTTGAATTCTTTGTAAGATATACTTCATAGTGCCTCATAAAAAGACTATTGTAGTCGACATGCTGTAGTCAATATTCTGTCATGTGCAGTTTGTAGTTTCCAACATACCACTGCGGATGGCAAATCAGAAACATCGATATCTAGTTATATAGCCTCGTCAAAATGTTTTTATTCTTTTATCACATATTGTGAATAATCATTTTTACAATGTTTGAATAATTTATTATATTGGGTAGTTTATCACTGTCTTAGGAAAATCTGATGGTAAGCAGGAAACAAATCATTTTATTTGAAATATGATAATATATGGTTTCGAGATTTTTTCATACAAATTCAATATGCCGTTCGCGGAGAAAGACTGTTTTGTCGAATATCAATGTCACCTGATTTTGTCAAATAAGAGTAGCTTATGATCGAATAAATGAATAATAGATACCGATAACTACATTCAACACCCCTATTGAATATTGAAATACAAAAACATCAAACGATAGTGTTTTGTGTTTGAATTGACGAGTTCGTCAAGGCTAATATGATTTAAGCAAGGGTTTAACTTACAGGATGGCATCGCCTAGTTACACGCAAGTTGTTGTAGCAACAAGAGCGAAAAAAGTAATATTGGTCGCTAGTGGAGAAAGAAGTCCGATATTCCACAATACCCTTTACAACCTTGGACTGATCGCATCGTTAACAACTTAATGAACACTACAGATAGCAAATCCAGAAAAAGAAAACGATATAACGAATTCTGTGATCAGAAAACAATTATTCCATAATTAACTTTGCGATAGACTTTAAAGATGGGCGAATACAACGGAGCGACACGATGGATCAAATATTCTTTCCTCTTTTGCATAATTGGATTCCTGCTACATCTATGGTCCTACGGGGCGGGATTTTCAGGAATGGCCGCTAACTCCGGTGTCCAAGCATGTGTCATAATAGGATTTTTGTGCTTCTTAACAGCGACAGTGCTCATCATTTTGTACGTGCTACACGATGATTTAACTGGGAATAAACCAGCACTAATCTGCTTCATCGTATTCGTATTTGTGGCAGGTGAGGCCCTAACCTGTTTTTATAGATATGAATACTAGTGAATAACTTGTTTCATAAACTAATAAATAACGTGTTTTTATATATGCATTAACAATTAGCATGTTTTACATAGTACTTAAACTAATAAAAACATAAATACATGTATTCATAAATTACATGTTTTATATTTGCACTAATCATTTATATATTTTTATATACATTCTAACGATTAACATATATTTTTATATACGTTCTAATGATTAACATGTTTTACATGTACTAATCAATAACACGTTTTGTAGATGTACAGCACTAATAAATAACATGTTTCATATTTGTACTGATGATTAATAACATGTTTTTATATATGTACTAATAATAACTAACATGTTTTAGACATGTTCTAAAAATAACATGTTTTTAGATATGCAGCTTTTGACAAGAAAAGTTGTCTTTTA